CCAATTATTCAAAGTGCTCACTGATCCGGAGAGAGAGCAGAAACTATGAAAAAAGTCTGAAAATAGAAATTCTCTCCTCCTTCTTCTTTTTCAGCTTGTTTGGCTGAAACATGTGAGAAACATGTGAAAATGACACATTCAGAAATTCAGAAATTCAGAAATTCAGAAATTCAAAAATTCAGAAATTCAGAAATACAGAAATTCAGAAATTCAGAAATTCAGAAATTCAGAAATACAGAAATTCAGAAATTCAGAAATTCAGAAATTCTGAAATTCTGAAATTCTGAAAATCCAAAAAATCCGAAAATTCTAAAAATTGTAAACCTTCTTTAGATGACCAGGTTCTTTTTTTGGCTGGAAAAGCGACATCAAAACAAACGGTCAAAAAGGTGGCGATGAGGATATCGAGACCGACAGACAGACAGACAGACAAACTCGCAGATTTTGATTTTCAGACGTTTTTATTTCAGATTTTCCAATTTCCATGATTCTCCAATCACTTCATGCTCCTTGAAGCCGATGATGACCTAACTTCCCAACTGGTGGCCGAACTTTTTCAAATAATGGCCTAACTTATCATCCCTCGTTGCTCCCTCCTTTTTTCTGAATTTTAAACTTTCCAGAACCGAGAAGTCTACCGTATACATATTTTTTCTTCTTTTTTTGCTCTGAAAATAGAAAAAGAGCACTCTCTCTCTCTTCGGATGGATGTAAACAGGATATCAAGTGTACATGTATCAAATTGAATAGGATGTACATGTATAATTAGAGAACTAATTAGATAAAATGAGTCAGAACTAAAATTAATTAGTTCTCGGGAACAGAAAATTGCAGCGATCGTAGGCGTTTCTAATTATGGCTTCTGTTTTAATAAACAATTTATCTGTGTCCCTTTAAGAGATATCAAAACACTGTCAACTGGCAACAAACTTATCATATTATCAGCAACATTTTATCAGTTGACTACTTTTTGCTAGCTATCACAGGAAGCAAGATAAAATGGCTCAAAGCTTGGGATTCTTTTTCAATGGGGGCCCCCTTCAAAAATGGTCGCCCAATTTTTTGGGGACAAAATTCGCGACTTTTTTTGATATCCAACGTTTATTTCTGGAAAATTCCATTTGCCGGCTCATTTGTTCCCCATTCTCCCCCTAAAATCCAATTTTCGCCGACAATGCGCCTTTAAACCAATTTAAACGGAGCTATTTGAATGTTTCATCTGAAATAGTGTGTAGATAAAAGAGACGCAGAGGCAAATCTCTTTTGGACCCTTTGTTCGCTTTCAAAGGGGGTTCAGAAAAGACGTCCAATTTTAGTAATGGAAAGTTGAAAATCTAAAAAAATCATGCGCCCCAAAAAACCGGAAATTAAAAAATCCCGCTTTTTCGAACATTTTTCAGAACTTTAGAATTCTCACATCATCCGATACGAACTCTGAAACATCGGATATGAAACCGGAAATTAGATTTTAAAGCGGGGTCTGGGGTTCGGGTGGTCAGGTGACCATATCTGGAAAACTGAAATAGCTAGCTAAAAGCTATGAGCTATGGAAATATAGAAGAGAAAATATTTTACATTTTAGTATAAAAAATAGTAAGATCGGATAACTGGGAGGCAAGTTGGAAGCTGTTGGAAGCTGGGAGCTGTGAAATGGCTCTTTGAACGCTTATATCTCAAAAATCAAAAACAAAATAGAGCTCTTAAAATTTCCTACATTTTGATATAAATTATTATGTACTTTAAACGTTTCAAGGACCCGCCATGCGCTTTTAAACATTGTTCGTCTTCAAGCTTGTGACTAGCCTATGTTTTTATCAGCGCTTATATCTCAAAAACCAAGAGAGTTACCTCAAAACTGTAAGCTACAAAATGTAGCCCTTGACATTTCCTATATTTTGATATAAGTATTGTAACATCTTGCACATTTCAGAAGCTTCTCATGAGCCTTTAAACTTCAGGAGCTTCAAAAGAGCTTGTTTCTTTTTCCATCGCTTATATCTCAAAAACCAAGAACACTACTAAAAAAACCAAGAACGCTACTAAAGAAAGCTGCAAACTACAAAAATGTAGCCCTTGACATTTCCTTTAGTTTAGTTTTTTTTTTGCACTTTTGTTTACATCTTCTTCCTTTTCTCCTAAGCTTGAAATCTTCATTATCCTCTCAGTCTATCCTTGACATTTACAATTTGTTTTTTAGTGGATTTTGTTGGCTTTCAGTTTGCGAAAATCCTTCTAGAATGTTTGTTCAGGGACTGATAGGATTATGAAAATCCAGGTTGCTCTGAAATTAGTTTAATAGATTAATCCTATTAGGATTAGAAAATGTATAGCTGGTATAGAAGAAATCAGAAATCAGGGGTACTGTGGATTTCAATAACGCCCACTAGGAGATTCCAGAACTAATTAGAAAGAGTTCCAATTTACACTTTCTGAATAGAATGTAACGCCTACGAGAGAAATTGTATAGAAATTTCCAGAATTCTAATTAGAAAGTTCAAGAATTCCAGATTCTAATTAACGCCTACAAGAACTTACATCACTTCTTCTGACTCATACTCCTCTCTAATTAGTCCCAACTATAAATATATGTATCTTTGTATATTTGATATCCTGTTTACCACACTTTCCTATTTTCAGATGCACCAAACCTTTTTCAGCTCAAATCACATAAATTTCATTCAAATTAGTATATCCCGACATCTAGTTTTTCAAAATTTAGGATTTTTACATTAAACTGTAGAAATTGTCATGTTCTACAATTTTGTAGTTTGCAGTTTTTATGTAGCTTTCTTGGTTTTTGAGATATAGACGTTCAAAAATGCAGTGTCCTTGCAGCGTCTTTCAGGAAAGAGCGGGCTGGAAGTGGGCGGAGCCTAGAAGGAGGAGTGCTCTTTAAGAAGGTCTCATTTTCAAGGACGGCTGGAACTCTGTCATCTTGGTCTTGGAGCCTAGATTCAAGATTTTTGGGAATTTCTCAAACATTTTTCGGAACAAATTCTAGGATCACTGGATCACATCCTTATCGAAGCATTTTTATATGCTCCGGACAATTTTGTTTCCAAAAATACTTCAAAAATTTCCAGAACTATGTCTCGCTTCGTTTTTTTCGTCCTCGTTCTTGCTCTGACCATGGCCGTCACCATAGCTGAGCCAGACAACTCCAGGAAGTTCCGCTCGTGTGGCTTCTTCCTGAATCTCCGCATCGATCGTGTTTGTGGTGGAACTTGCTCCATGTTTTATGATGGCTAGTTTGAAAATAGTCTTGGATGATGTTAAAAGAGAAATTTGCTTTAATTCGGTATAAAAATCTCTAAATTTGGTTTACTAGGAGCTGAGCTACAGAGAGTTTTAGAACTTTGCACTCAAAATTTTGGTGCCTTGTTTTCAAATGTTTATATCTCAAAAACCAAAAAAGCTATCTAAAAACTGAAAACTACAAAAATGTAGCCCTTGAAATTTTCTGCATAATGATATAAAAGTCAAATTATCATTTCCAGCAATCAATTAACTTTTCAGCCCTTCACGAGATCGCATGCTCCACTGGAATCACCGACAACCATCTCGTCCAAATCTGCTGTCCATCATTGCAGTGAAGAATCCTGGCATCCGAAAATCTGTTATCACTTTTAACATTTTAGCTATCCCATAACTCTTTAACTCAAGATTGTCCCATTTCCATTTTTTTTTTCGGAGGAGAAATTCAATGTTAACCAATAAATCTGACTGAAAAATACACAGTTGTTACTTTCAAATGTCTTTATATCAAAAACCAACAACGCTATTCAAAAACTGTAAGTTACAAAAATGTAGCTCTTGAAATTTCCTATGTTTTGATATAAAAATTTGCACTCTTGTTTACGTCTCTTCTTCCTCTTTTCCTCGGAATTCCCATAATCTTCTCAGTCTATCCTTGACATTTCCATGTTGTTTTTAAGAGGATTTTGTTGGTTTTCAGCTTACAAAAATCCTTCTAGAATGTTCGTTCAGGGACTGATAGGATTACGGCAATCCAGATTCTCCTGAAATTTGTTTAATATGTTAATCCTATTAGTATTAGAAAATGTGCAGCTGATAAAGAAGAATTGAGAAATCTGGGATACAGTAGCATTTTGAACTCTGGCTTTGCTAGAATATTTTAATAACGCCTACTAACAGTTTCAGAACATATTCAACTCAAAAATTCTAGCTGGATTCATTTGATATCCTATATACACCGCAGAGAACCATCAAACCTAGTGAACCAAAAATGATAAATTTTATAACCAAATGTAGGAAACTTCGAGGGCTACATTTTTTGTGTGAACATCTTTTGGCTGGCTTTCTTGGCTTTTGAGTTATAAGCGCTGGAAAGAAACATATGATTGTGTAGCTCCTAGAGTTTAAAGGCGCATGATGGGTCACTGAAAAAAGAGAAGTGTAGGAAAATGCATATCAAAATAAAGGAAATTTTAATAACTAAATTTTTTTAGTTTTTAATTTTGAAACAGAGTTTTTGGTTTTTGAGATATAAGCATTCGAAAAACAACGATTGGATCTCAGACAGATTTATTGGTTAACATTGAATTTCTCCTCCGAAAAAAAAGGAAAATAGGACAAACTTGAGTTAAAGAATTATGGGATAGCTAAAATGTTAAAAGTGATAACAGATTTTGGATGCCAGGATTCTTCATTGCAATGATGGACAGCAGATTTTTACGAGATGGTTGTCGGTGATTCCAGTGGAGCATGCGATCTCGTGGATGGCTGGAAAATATAATTTGTTATTTATGTCATTATGTAGAAAATTTTTAGGGCTACAATTTTGTAGGTAACCATTATTTGATATCGTTTTTGGTTTTTGAAATATAAGCGTTTGAAAACAAGGCACCAAAATTTTGCAAAGTTAAACTAGTCCTAACTCAGCTCCCGATAAACCAAACTCAATGATTTCTATACCAAATCGAAACAGATTTTCTATTCTACATTATCAATCAATATTCCCAAACTAATCATCATAAAACATGGAGCAAGTTCCACCACAAACACGATCGATGCGGAGATTCAGGAAGAAGCCACACGAGCGGAACTTCCTGGAGTTGTCTGGCTCAGCTATGGTGACCGCGATGGTCGAAGCAAGGACCAAAACAAAGAATGAAGCGAGACATAGTTCTGGAAGTTTCTTAAGGTTTTTTTTGGAGTCAAGATGGTGTGTAGCAAAAAACGTTTTGAGAAAGCATTATTTAAGTCCGATGGTCCAAAAATAATATTTTAAAAAGAATCCTCTGAAATCTTAAAAATAGGCTCCAGAACCCAATTGAACAAGTTTCAGTCTTCCTTGAAAATAGGCCCTTCAGAAAGAGCACACCTACTCCTAGGCTCCGCCCACTTCCAGCCCCCTATTTCTTGTGAGACGCTGCAGGCGCCTAAATTTTTGAACGTCTATATCTCAAAAACCAAGAAAGCTACATAAAAACTGCAAACTACAAAATTGTAGAACATGACATTTTTTACAGTTTAATGTAAAAATCCTAAATTTTGAAAAACTAGATGTCGAGATATACTAATTTGAATGAAATTTATGTGATTTGAGCTGAAAAAGGTTTGGTGCATCTGAAAATAGGAAAGTGTGGTAAACAGGATATCAAATATACAAAGATACATATATTTATAGTTGGGACTAATTAGAGAGGAGTATGAGTCAGAAGAAGTGATGTAAGTTCTTGTAGGCGTTAATTAGAATCTGGAATTCTTGAACTTTCTAATTAGAATTCTGGAAATTTCTATACAATTTCTCTCGTAGGCGTTACATTCTATTCAGAAAGTGTAAATTGGAACTCTTTCTAATTAGTTCTGGAATCTCCTAGTGGGCGTTATTGAAATCCACAGTACCCCTGATTTCTGATTTCTTCTATACCAGCTATACATTTTCTAATCCTAAAAGGATTAATCTATTAAACTAATTTCAGAGCAACCTGGATTTTCATAATCCTATCAGTCCCTGAACAAACATTCTAGAAGGATTTTCGCAAGCTGAAAGCTGGAAACCAACAAAAACCTCTTTTAAACAAAATGAACATGTCAAGGGTAGGCTGAGAGGATTATGGAGATTTTGAGCTCTGGAAAAGAGGAAGAAGATGTAAACCAAAGTGCAAAAAATTATACTAAACTATAGGAAATTTCAAGGGCTACATTTTTGCAGTTACAGCTTTTAGATAGCGTTTTTGGCTTTTTAGATATATAAACACTGGAAAAAAAACAACAGGTTGTGAAGGTCTTGAAGTTTAAAGACGCATAACTAGTGCCTGCAAAACGAAAAGTGTAAAAATATTTATATCAAAATATAGGAAATTTCAAAAACTACATGATTGTAGTTCACAGTTTTTAGGTAGCTACTTTGGTTTCTGAGATATAAGCGCTGGAAAATTGATACCCTGAAATGTTGCTTTCAGTTAAATCTCGACTTTTACCAAACCAAATTTGGAGTGTTTTACACCAAAATGTAGGAAATTTAGTTTTTTCTATTTTTTTTGAAGCTGAAAAACAAAATCTGAAATGTTTTTCCAGAATTCCTGTAGACTTTGAGTTCCTCAAATACCTCGAATTCGATCTGAAGCAATCTAAAAATCCTGAAAATCCTCCGAAAGTCTGAAACGTCAAAAACTACAATTGTTTTATTAACAAATCACTTTATTCATCAAATTTCTCAGATTTTTGACAGGTTTTACAAATTCAAATTTAATGAAAAAATAATTTTATAAGGGGCAATTCATCAGGTTGGTTTTCCAGGAGGCGGAGTCTTCTATGGGCAGCAAATTGATGCGATCTGGTTGTCGGACATTCCTTGGGAGCAGACGGTCGAGGCGAAATCTGAAAATAGATAGTTTTTATACGAAAATGTAGGAAATTCCAAGGACTACATTTTTGTAGTTGACAAAGTTTTAGTGGCATTATTGCTTTTTGAGATATGCGCCTTTAAAAAAATGTGTCAATCCCACATGAACCTAATATAACTCAAGACTTCCTGAAACGATTTTTATGATCTTCATATCAAAATGAAGGGAACTTCTAGACTTTTCTAGGTTTTTTATAATATTAAACTTACGAGTCGGCTCCTGGGTGCAGCTTGAGCCGCAGAGCTTGGCGACTCTTTGAACCAAGAACTCCCCACAGGTCTTAACGACTTCGGACTCCTGGGCGAATGTGGTGGCGGCCAAAAAGAAGAAGAAGAGCACGAAGAGCTTCGAATTGAACATTTTCTGAAATTTCGACATTTTAAAGGGACATAAAAGGTTTCTAGAAGGTTCTAGAAGCAAATAGGAGAGAGGGAACGGGAAGCGTCCTCCTAAACGCACATCCGTTCTTTTATAGGGATTATTCTAGCTACTAAGCTCCGCCCATTTTCAAACTCCGCCCACTTTTCTTTACGGAAGGAAATTAATATGATAGGATTATGATATGGGTGTGGCCTTCATCACATGGCACGGAACATTAATTCGAATCAAGAGGATGAGCAACGAAGGATTAATGGAATTTGTAAAGTATAGAATTTTATAGGAAACTGTAGCAAATTTAAAGGGTAAAATTTTTGTAGTTTACAATTTGCAGTAGCTTTTTTGGTTTTTGAGATATACGCGCTGGAAAATATCATAGACTTGTTCACTAGTCTAAAGACGGATGAATTTTAAAGGCGCATAGCATGTGCCTGAAAAAAAGAAGGCATAAAAATATGTATGTCAAAATATAGGAAATTTTAAGAGCTATACTTTTGTAGTTTACAGATTTTAGATAGCTTTTTTGGCTTTTGAGATATACGCGCTGGAAAAAAAAACATAGGCTTGTCACAAGCTTGAAGACGAATAATAATTTTTGAAGGCGCATGGCGGGTTACTGAAAAATGCAAATATAGAAAAATTTATAACAGATTAAAGAGAAATTTCAAAAACTATATTTTTGTAATTTGCAGTTTTTAGGTAGCGTTTTTGGCTTTTTAGATATAAGCCATGGAAAACAGGACCTTGGAATTCGTGGGCGTGGCTTGGAAGGTCTTCTAAGTCCCGCCCACTTTTCCTTGAGGAGTCCATGCAGGATACTTCTTTTCTCTCTCATTTTTTTCTTAGAAATCATCTTCTAAAATCTATTTTTTCCAGAAAATTATGACTCGTATCTTCTTCTTCTCCTTTGTCTTTGCTCTCGCCTTGGCTCTCGTCTTGGCTCAATCGGACGACGGCATTGTTGTGAGAACCTGTGGCAAAAGTCTCTACAATCGAGTGTTCAGCCTTTGCGGGGATTATTGCTCAGCTAAGTCGGAAGGTAAGAGGTTTTAGTTTTTCAAGAAAAGGTGCTTACATTTTGGTAACCCTAGAAATTGGTAGGGTACACGACAAGTAAGAGAGAGTTTTCGAAAAATAGGGGGTTTCTTTTTAAGCGCTTATATCTCAAAAACCAAAATAGCTACTTAAAAACTGTAAACTACAAAAATATAGCCCTAGAAATTTCCTATATTTTAATGTAAATGTTTTTACATTTTGCGTTTTTCTGTAATTTGTTATGCGCCTTTAAACTTCCTTTAGCAAAGCAGTATGGGCTCCGCAAGCCCATGTACTTTTTCAGAGCGTATATCTCAAAAACCAAAAACGCTATCTAAAAACTGTAAATTACAAAAATGTAGACCTTAACATTTTCTACATTTTGAAAACAAAATAAATAGTAAAATTTTTCAGGAATCTCCCTAACCCACGCCTGCCGTTTCGGATTGTCGGACAACCAATTGGTACAACTATGTTGCCCAAGCAAGATTTGATCTCCAGGAATTCAATCAATACCGTATTTTCGCATTATTATGACTATTTTTGCACTATTTTACATTTGAAATGAAAGACATCTTGTTGGAAAATTGTGGTTCTTTTTTGGCTTTCCAGATTTTCAAAATCATCAAGAATTCGGAAATTTCCTGGCAAAGCTCGGGAAGCTCTTGAAGTTTAAAGGCGCATGACGGGTTACTGAAATGTGTAAAGTATATTTTTATTTATAATAAAATGTAGGAAATTTTAAGGGCTACATTTTTGTAGTTTACAGTTTATTTGTAGTGTTGTTGGTTTTTGAGATATACGCGTTTGACAGAAACACAGGCTTGGGAAGCTTCAAAAAAGTTTAAAGGCACATGACAAGTCCCTGAAATGAGCATGGTGTATACGTATTTAAATCAGAATACAGAAAATTTTATGTGCTACATTTTTATAGTTGACAATGTTTGAGTAGCGTTTTTGGTTTTTGAAATATGAGCAATTGAAAAATAGTGGTTAAATTCCATCCCTTATAAAATACCCCAGTGTAACTCAAGACTCCCTGAACCAAATTTCATGATCTTGGTACCGAAATGTAGGGAATTTCTAGGTTTTTCTAGGTTTTTTATAATACCAAACTTACCAGTTGGCTACTGAGTGCAGCTTGAAACTAAAACTTGGCTCCCAATCCACCCAACAAAAACAATTTTATCTTCTACATTTTCATAGTTTATAGCTTTTAGCTACTATTTTAGTTTTCCAGATATGGTCACCTGACCACCCGAACCCCAGACCCCGCTTTAAAATCTAATTTCCGGTTTCATATCCGATGTTTCAGAGTTCGTATCGGATGATGTGAGAATTCTAAAGTTCTGAAAAATGTTCGAAAAAGCGGGATTTTTTAATTTCCGGTTTTTTGGGGCGCATGATTTTTTTAGATTTTCAACTTTCCATTACTAAAATTGGACGTCTTTTCTGAACCCCCTTTGAAAGCGAACAAAGGGTCCAAAAGAGATTTGCCTCTGCGTCTCTTTTATCTACACACTATTTCAGATGAAACATTCAAATAGCTCCGTTTAAATTGGTTTAAAGGCGCATTGTCGGCGAAAATTGGATTTTAGGGGGAGAATGGGGAACAAATGAGCCGGCAAATGGAATTTTCCAGAAATAAACGTTGGATATCAAAAAAAGTCTCGAATTTTCGTCCCCAAAAAATTGGGCGACCATTTTTGAAGGGGGCCCCCATTGAAAAAGAATCCCAAGCTTTGAGCCATTTTATCTTGCTTCCTGTGATAGCTAGCAAAAAGTAGTCAACTGATAAAATGTTGCTGATAATATGATAAGTTTGTTGCCAGTTGACAGTGTTTTGATATCTCTTAAAGGGACACAGATAAATTGTTTATTAAAACAGAAGCCATAATTAGAAACGCCTACGATCGCTGCAATTTTCTGTTCCCGAGAACTAATTAATTTTAGTTCTGACTCATTTTATCTAATTAGTTCTCTAATTATACATGTACATCCTATTCAATTTGATACATGTACACTTGATATCCTGTTTACATCCATCCGAAGAGAGAGAGAGTGCTCTTTTTCTATTTTCAGAGCAAAAAAAGAAGAAAAGTTCAAGAATCGGAAATGAAGAGATTTTGCAGAAATATGTATACGGTAGATCTCCAGATTTCAGAAGCTGAGTTTTTCACTTTTTCAGGTTGATTTTCTAAAATTTCTATTTTTGAAGCCAAGAATAAAGGAAAAATTTGTAAAATTCTGGAAAATGAGGGCCGCTGGAACTCTGAAATTCTGAATTTTCGGAAATTTTGGAATTTTTGGATTTTCAGATTTTCAGATTTTTTTTTGATTTTTGAAATTCTGGATTTTTCGAACTCTTGATTTTAGATTCCGGAGTTCTGGAATTCTAATATTCGGAAATTCTAATATTTTGAGATTCTGGACTTTCAAAAATCTGGATTTATAGAAACATGGGTTTTTGGAATTTTAAAATTCAGAAATTCAGAAATTAAGAAATTCAGAAATTCAGAAATTCAGAAATTCAGAAATTAAGAAATTCAGAAATTAAGAAATTTAGAAATTCAGAAATTCAGAAATTCAGAAATTCAGAAATTCAGAAATTAAGAAATTCAGAAATTAAGAAATTTAGAAATTCAGAAATTCAGAAATTCAGAAATTCAGAAATTCAGAAATTAAGAAATTCAGAAATTAAGAAATTTAGAAATTCAGAAATTCAGAAATTCAGAAATTCAGAAATTCAGAAATTAAGAAATTCAGAAATTCAGAAATTCAGAAATTCAGAAATTAAGAAATTCAGAAATTAAGAAATTTAGAAATTCAGAAATTCAGAAATTCAGAAATTCAGAAATTAAGAAATTCAGAAATTCAGAAATTCAGAAATTCAGAAATTCAGAAATTCAGAAATTCAGAAATTAAGAAATTCAGAAATTAAGAAATTCAGAAATTCAGAAATTAAGAAATTCAGAAATTCAGAAATTCAGAAATTCAGAAATTCAGAAATTAAGAAATTCAGAAATTAAGAAATTCAGAAATTAAGAAATTTAGAAATTCAGAAATTCAGAAATTCAGAAATTAAGAAATTCAGAAATTCAGAAATTCAGAAATTCAGATATTCAGAAATTCAGAAATTCGGATATTCTGAAATTCAGAAATTCAGAAATTCAGAAATTCAGAAATTCAGAAATTCGGATATTCAGAAATTCAGAAATTCGGATATTCAGAAATTCAGAAATTCGGATA